TTTTATTAACAAAAGATTTATTATATTAAATATTTAAAGATATTAAAGTATAATAATATTTTATTTTAATAAAATTTTATTATTATTATTAACTATTTAAACTCAATTTTAATTATAAAAAATATTAACATCAATCGTGAGATCGATTTTAAATATATAAAAATTAATTAACTTTTATTATAAGTTAAATAATTTATTATATTTTTATGAAATAAATACTTGTCCAATAAAATATTTTCTCTTTTTTAAATTTAAAATTAACTCCAAGGATTGACATAAACAAAATAAAACAAATGAAGTTAAACTAAGTTTTCTGTTTCATACATAATAGAGTTAAAATAATAACTGAGCATTTTTTTTAATAGGGGTCTTTTATATTGGCTATTCTTTAATTTGTCTAATCAAGATTTAATAGTTTTTACTGATGAAACAAGTTATTTGATGTTGTAATTTGACATATTTGAAAAGAAAGAAATGCTACCATTCTTTAGCATTTTTCTATTCTTCCTAGCTGTTGCTGGATTTATTGATGACCACATCTAAAGCTATGGGAGTTTGATTTAAGACATTAGTTTAGCTTCTTGCTCCCTTTAGCTGCTGAGTTATAAGGAATTTATTTAAGGTTGCAGCTAGTTATCTAGAATGGCACATAACTAATTTGGATAAAAAATAATTTTAAGAAAACTTTGGTTTTAGTTTTGATTATTTAAAATTGTAATCATGTTTTATTTCCTCTGATAAATACTATAAGAAATTTGCTTAAATGTATTTCTTTTACTAAGTTTAAGCATATTTTTAAAAAAAGACAATCAGTGTATTAATAAATTTGCCAAAATGGATTTTTTTTTTTTTGGTCCGGACTTGCATGAGATGACAGGTTAGGCAAATCAATGAACGAATTATAAAAACTCATATATACTCACCTTTCAGAGAAGTTAATAAAAATAATTATGTACTTTTTTAAATTTATTTCAAAACAATAAAAATTAAAATTTATAAATAAATTATTTATATTTTTTTATTAAATAAATGTTAGATTAAATTTTGCATGTAAACATCACTTAAATTATTTTTTATTAAACAATTTTTCTGCTCATTTTGGATCTCTAATTTATTGAACACGAACCAATCTCACGTCAAAAGAAAACGAGAAGCTACTATTGAACTCAATCTGAATCAAGAAAAATAATTGGTGATTGCTAATTTGCTAATAATGATTGGCTAGATAATTTTGGATTAAAAACATTTTATTCCATCGTCTGCTAGTTAATCTTGAAATACATATATACTAACAAGAAAAGAAATTGTCCTTTTTCATTAATATAGCTCAACATTCGAAGCTGCTGTCTTTATACCTTTGGCTTTGTTATGTTTTGGGTATGTTCGCGTCCTAAAAATTAACATAATCCACCCAGCGTGCACATTATGAATGATTTAAAATAGAAAGAACATTGATATCACAATGGGTATCTAAATGCACATGGTTATATACCTTACTTTCATGCTAGCATTTTTTGTTTTTAGTGCTAATTTTAATCAAGGAAATGTTTACTATGGATGGCCAGAGAATTTTCCTGCAAGAAATTATAAAATACTGCTTCAAGACAATTACTTTATCTCATATGTCCTGTAGTTGTTGTACCTTGTTTAGGAATCCTCCTCAAAATTCTGATGCACAAATATTAAAATTACGGTTCCTTAACTTATGTGTATCTCCTTTTGTGCTTCCTTCATATTCTTCTCATTCCTTTCTTTATCTGACAATAAGACTTCAATTATATCATGAATTATGAATGATAGAGTTAAATAACCGAGATAGAAAAAGTTGGTCAGCTTTTTAATTGTGAGATTCCATTCTATGCCTGAAACACAGAAAATTAGTTAGCAAATGAAGAGCTGTATGGTTAAAGAAACAAACATGCTGGAGCTTTCTGAGATTTCTTGGAGACCATGATTTGTATTAATGTAGATCCATATGGTTTTTTTCTTTTTTCTTTAGTGTTAAACACACTCACACGTGAGTGAGTGCGTGCGCGCGCAATTTTGATTCCAAACTATACTATACAAAATGTTTAATCTATAATTTTGAAGAACAAATTTCTTTCTTTCTTTTATATTGGAGGTATATTTTTAAAATATTTATATAATAGAATATATAAAATATAAATATAATTATCTACTGTGTTATTTTATAATTATTTCAACGATATAATTAATGTAACATTTTTCTATACACAATCAAAACTTACTTATTATTTATATTTCAGAAAAGTATGAAATTAAACCTTTATTTACTCATATTTATTAACATTTTTAGTAATAGGTCATTAATGTGTTAATAGAATAAAAATTTATTTACCTAATTTCTAAAAAATTGTTATTTATTCTATTTAAACAACAATTTTACAATGATCATGATTGTATGTAAAAAATTGTTATCAAAATAATAAATAGTACTTCTAACTTAAACAATGACTTCCCAAGGTCAATTAAATTTTAATTATAAATTTTTTACTTTTAATCAACATTTTTAATTATTACCTAGACTGAAAAATATTACAGTGATCGCAGCAATATACAAATCAAAATCCTACCTAAGTACCAAATATATTAATATTCCATCAAATTCTGAAGAAAAAAAAGAGAGAGCTAGAATGGAAAATTGAAGGAAAAGCCTGAATTGATGAACAAAATTGTGTTTGCATGGTAAAGCTCTAACCTAAATTTAGTAGTCTATGTGGAGTGAGGTAATTTATTATTATCATGTTGTAGAAATTTTTTTTTAAAAAATATTATATTAGTATAGAAGAGACATGTGATAAGTATTTTATGTATAATTTATTAAAAAGTATAAAGATAAAAAAATATAAAATTATTAAAAATTATACATTATAAATTAAATTCTACTTAAATAAGTTTTTAATTTTTTTAAATTATAGATTCCTTCAATTTATATATTTATTGAATAACTTTATTATCTTATTAAAAATATACTACAAACTTTTAAATAAAAGGAGAATGGGACCGAGGATAAGAAGAAAACTAATGATGTATAGCCGACAAATATATACAGTACTTTTTGACCAGCGATTCTCAGTTTATTTTTGTCTATTACTTCTTTCGAATTTCGATGTAATTAATATATCAGAGATTAGTTAACTTAGGTCCACTCGCAATTTGCATTGAAAGTTTCTGATATTTATTGGAGATTGTCCTATATTCCCTTACGCTGTTTATATTTCATATACAATTTAATCATGTATGCACTAGTTTGATATACAAAGCTAAGATCAGCTAGCTAAACTCCAAAGTTTGTTGAAAAGTAGACTTATAGTAATTCAGAAAGATATGTACAAAATTACAAAATGGTTGACAAAATAAGTGGAGAAAATGTGCATAAAATGTGCAAGTATCCACCGAATTTCGGGTTCATTCCTTTTACCTAAAATTAAAAGTATGCTCTGATATTTTAGTATATTTCTCCATTGTGTTAATTTGTTGATTAATGATCTTAATTCTGCATCTCAGTCTTTCCATTCACAATGATGGACTTAATACTTTTAATTACAATATGCTATATCTAATTAATTTTCTCTATATGTATGAAATTGCACTACATTCTTTCATATGGATTAATCATGTTTAGATGTTGATTTTACAGAAGTTATATTGTGCTTTTAGAGGATTTTGAACTTACAGGCTAAGGATTGTACATGAGAAAGAGAGTTATAAAGGAAAAGAAAAAAGATTGGAAGATAAATTTTAAATATATTTTATTTAATAATTTTTTAATATTAAAAATAAATATAATATAAATTTATTATTATAAATAATATATAATTTTTAAATTTTAAAAAATTATCTATCCCCTTCTTTAATTTAAAAATTTTTTCTCCAAAATCCCTTAAATGTTGACATCTATAACTTGGTTGGTTCTCTGAAATAATTCTTCATCCTCAATTTATCTTGTAAAAACAAAAAATAAATCAATAACAATTCATCTTGTTTGAATTCACTTTGTCAAAGATAACAATTTTTAACTTTTCACATGGATAAGAATGATTCTAACGTAAAACTGATAATTAAAAGTACATCATATATTTACTCTTAATTTTTTTTACTTTAGCATTTAAATAAAATTGATTATCCTAAACTTACTCTTAAAAATGTCATGTCTAAACATAAATATTTGTTTTTCTATGGTAGCAAGATTTCCCCAGCATTAAACTGAGGAAGGTAAAACAAAGTTAGGTATATACCATGTACTAAGGCAGGAAGAAGCGCAGAACAAATTATGATTTGTTGAATTATTATTATATATGTGATGGCCCGTGAGAGAGTGAGCCAAAAGTTTAACTGCCTCAAATCCCCCTACAGTGCCCACCATTACATGACAAAATCCCAACACCCAAATACAAACAATTTGGTGGCCGGCTACTTCACATGCCACCAAAATCCAACACCAACAGTGCTCATACGCCACAGGTGCTAACCTCTTCTTCTTCATCCTCCTTATATTTACACCCATCTCTCTCACTCTTTTTCTTTCTTAACTACGGAAAATCAGAAAAGGGTTTGTGGAATTAGTACCTTTTGTAGCCACGAAAGTGATGTTCATACCACTCCTCCTTTTGCCTTAACTTGGCCGTTATGCACATCTGAAAAAGCCTGAACTTTACCAAGAAGGGTCTCTTTTGCCGAATTTGACTTCAAATATGTATTTTTTGGGATGAGAGTTTCCCTCTCCACCGATCACTCTCTATTGGGAAGAACGATACTATAATCCTTTACGAAAAAGCTGAACTGTCTATTTATCTGCACAATTCTCCCAAACTCTTCTGCAAAATCTTACCCACAATTGGATCGTTTCCCGATGGCAAAGACACCCACTTCTAGTAAGGGTCCTTTCTCTTCATCTCCTCCCTTTTCTTCTTAATTCTTCTTTCCCTACTCTTATTTCTCTTCCAACTTTTTTCTCTTTCCATTTCCACACACTTTCCATGACGCAATTCACACCTCTTTTGCACCAAATCACACCCCTCTCCAACCCCAACCCTTCCATGAACAAAAACCAAATTCCTAGAACAAGACCGTGGCCTGCTACAGGGTTCCTAACATCCAAGGCTTTAACTAACTTCGGCGACACAAACTGCATGGAACAGTTACTTGTTCACTGTGCCAACGCCATCGAAACCAATGACGTAACTCTTGCACAACAAATCCTTTGGGTCCTCAACAACATAGCACTGCCTGACGGTGACTCTAACCAACGCTTGGCCTCTGGTTTCCTTCGCGCCCTCACCGCTCGCGCAGCCAAAACGGGAACTTGCAAGATGCTCGTTGGGGTAGAAGATGCACGCACCAATTTCACCATAGACACACACAAATTCTCAGTCATCCAACTAGCCAACTTCGTTGACTTAACCCCCTGGCACCGCTTTGGTTTCACTGCGGCTAACTCCGCCATTCTAGAAGCTACCGAAGGGTTCTCTGTTATCCACATCGTTGACTTAAGTTCAACGCATTGCATGCAGATTCCCACGCTCATTGACGCCATCGCTAGCCGCCACGAGGTTCCTCCTTTAATCAAACTCACCGTGGCTAATGCAAACTGCAGAGAAATCCCACCTTTGCTTGATCTTTCATACGAAGAACTTGGAACAAAGTTGATCAATTTCGCTAGGTCGAGAAACGTTGTCATGGAATTCAGAGCGGTTTCTTCGAGTTACGAAGATGGGTTTGCGGTGTTAATTGAACAGTTAAGAGTGCAACAACAACAAAATTTAGTTTATGCTTCAGAGGCTCGTCCAAGTGAAGCTTTGGTTATAAACTGTCACATGATGCTTCATTATATCCCTGATGAAACCCTATCTTCAATTCCTGACACAAACCCGTCCTCTTATATTTATGATTTTTCTTCTATTGTTACTTCCACTTCCTCTTTGCGATCTTTGTTCCTTAAAGCACTTCGAAGTTTGGACCCAACGGTTGTGATCTTGGTTGATGAGGATGCAGATTTTACATCCAATAACTTGGTTTGTAGGCTAAAGTCAGCCTTTAACTATCTATGGATTCCGTATGACACGGTGGACACGTTTCTTCCAAGAGGGAGCAAACAAAGGCAGTGGTATGAGTCAGATATATGCTGGAAGATTGAGAATGTTATAGCGCATGAAGGGGTTCAGAGGGTAGAGAGGGTTGAGCCTAAGAACAGGTGGGAACAGCGAATGAGGAATGCAAGCTTTCAGGGAATCGCTTTCAGTGAGGACTGTGTTGCGGAGGTGAAGGCCATGTTGGATGAACATGCTGCAGGATGGGGACTGAAGAAGGAAGATGAACACATTGTGCTCACGTGGAAAGGCCATAATGTTGTTTTTGCTTCTGCTTGGTTTAATGCTTGAACAGTTTTTGCTGCTTTGTACTTTAAGAATATTGTTTTCTTCTTCTTCTATATTTAGTCTTTGGTCTTCGATTTCTGAAGAGTAAATAAGTAGATCATAAGTTATTTTTATGCATCGTCAAGGTTTTAGATTGTCTCACTCTTGATTTTCCACATTTCAAATTTTACCTCGTTAGTTCCGTCCTCTCTTTTTCCTTTTTTTTTTCTTTTTATTATTATCTATTATATTTATTTATTTTTTATTTATCTTTTCTTTACTTCTGATTCATAAACCTATTGATTATAGTTTATTTACTGGTTCATGACGTTAATAGATTAGTTCACATGCTTGTCAACCAAAAATTGTCATGTTGGGACTAGTGTGAAAATTAAGTACATAAGAACATTTTCCTACGAAAAATTCTATTCTTATAACAAAGTTATACAACATTTTTGTATAAATAAGATAAAGAAAGACAAAAATATATAAAATAAAGCAAAAAAATGGATAAAAAATGTTTGAAGCCTTTCCAACATGTATTTGTCTAGCTAATAGTATCTTACAAAATCTCAGATATTGAATTTGTCTTTGCACATCAATTATAGAAAGGAGAGAGTATACAAGGTATGGTTGAAATTTCTACTAGAAAAATATGATTTTAAAGGAAGGAGAAAATCCCAATTTGAGAAAAATAAGAATAAAGTATTATATATATATATATATATAATACATGAACATTCTCAAATTAAAAGACAATGGAACAAAATGTGTCCTGAAAAACACTTGGACAAAAAATTGCCAACAAAAATATATAAACAATAGTATTCTGTAACCGAGCATTGAGAGAGAGGGGAAGAGGGTAGTGAGCAACTGAGCATCTTCCTTTCAAGAAAAGATTTATATTCTTTCAAGACTTTGTCAGTTCAAATATGACATTTTTGAATTTGTAACTTGGAGTTCTCTCTAAGGGTTATTGAAGGCTACTGTGCATAGTTGGAATTGGAGTGGGAAGGGTATGTGGTCTACTTATAAGTCTTGCATAAGTACTCCAGATAAGACTACTATTTGAGATAGCAATTTCTTCCAAGCTGTGTAATTGACAAGTGATGGTGACATTTTATATACTGTAGAAGTTATCTAAGAAGTTGAAGAGATTTAAGTTACCTTACTTTTATTTTTATTTTTATAATTTGTACTAGACCCTTCCCTAGATTTTCCAAGGTGCAAATGCTTGTGATGCTGACCTCAAGCATGAATTTGAGTCATATTTGATGGTGAAATTTTCGTAAAACAGATGTTATATTATATTAATATTTTATTTTAATAATTTCTATATAATAAATGAAAAATATTTTATCTATAAAAAATATATTTAAGAAATTATCCTTTTTTTTATAGATTATTATATATTCTCTTTAAAATTAAAATCATATGAGAAAATTACATTTTTTCATTAATTTTTTTCTATTTTCTTAATTTTATTTTAATATTTTAAAATAAAATTCATTAACTAATTTTGTTATAATTTTATATGAATTTTTAATTTTTCTATAAATATCCTTGTTTATGTGAAATGCATAATACCTCATATATTATTTTTATTATTTTTAAATAAATTATTAAATTCTATTAAATCTATATAATTTTGATACTTAATATTTATAGTTATATAGTTTAATTAAAATAATTTTTAAATAAAACTAAAATTTTAAATAATTTTTATTATATATTGTATGTATATTTATTTTAAAATAAAATACTTATGCATTGCACATACTATTAACTAATTTTGGTAAATTTATTTAAATAATGTTATTTTTAAAACAATTTTTTAAAATAGGTTTTTTTAAAATATTCTTTTCTGGTATGAATTTTGGTCAGGTTAACACCTGTATCGCACCTGCATATCGATAGTATATTTTTATTAATTTTTTAATAGATTATCATTTGCATCCATCCGATACATATATATTGAGATGTTGACACGTGAAACAAAGAATTTTGACGAATAAAATAAAAATAAATTAATAATTTTACATGTATTGGCCAAAGACAGATGATAATTATCATGTGCCATGTTCTGTTTTGTATTATCTCAATAGCGACGATAGTCTTTTAAAATGAATGCTTAGAAAAAAATGGGACATATGTTCAAATCCTAGGTAGTGTTATTTCTGACACCTCAATTGCGCTATCGAAGCATCAATGGTGAAATTACCTTGAATTTTGACACGTGTTTTTGTCAAAATTGATGCCTCGAAGCCCTTCTTTTTCCCCTCCCTAAGGTTCGTCTTCCATTAATGCCGCTATCAGAAGTATTTTCTCCATTGTTGCTGTGAAATTTCTAGGAACGATTTTTTGATTTTATAGTGTTATTCTGAGCAAAATTAAAAAAAAAAATTATGAAATAAATAAGTTTATTTTATTTGTAGAAAAAAAATAACAGTTTGTTATGTTTTGAAAGTTTATAATTGTCGGTATCGGAGAGGTATAAAAGTGGAGGTCTATTTTCAATAGGTAACATAGGTTAGTGAAAAATAGAAATTTCATATATTTTTTTGTATATTTTATTTAAGTGTTTGTATTTTTTTTTTTGTAATTTAATAAGAAAATAATTAAAAAAGTAATATTGGAATTAACTTTTGCTGATAAAAAATAGATTTAAAAATTGATTAATTGTTGTTAACCCTGAAGTTTAGTATTAAATTAAAAAAATTTGTTAGTATGTTTAGGTTTAAGTGCAATAACTAAAAAAATAGTAAAATTTGTTTAAAAATTTTCGTAATGTCAGGAAAAATAGATAAATTTTCTTTTTTAATTGTGAATATAATAAATTTTTGGTTTAGTGTTTTTATAAAATAGTAAATTGAAAATACAGAAGTATATAATTACAACATAATAATAATATATTAAGTTGACTGAGATAAAAAAAATGGATAATTAGTTATATTCAAAATAAGATAATTGCATAATAAAACATAAAAAATTAATTAAAATTTGTAATAAACTTTATTATTGTTAAGATTAATTAGGAGGGTAAATTAAAGGTATGAAAAATAATTTAATGAAAAATGTTTTAAATGTAGAATAATTTTGAATAAACTGAAACAAAATTTTAGTTAAACATATATCTATAATTGTATATTGTCTACTAATTAAATTTATCAAAAATCATGAAATCAATCTAAATATAACATGATTAATAGATAATTTTAATTTTTTATAAATCTTTTTTTTAATGTCTCAAAATTTATTTCACATTTAATTTTAATTATTTTATTATTTTATTCAAAAGTAACATCCTTATTACTTAAGAATATTCGACCATTCTAATATACTATTATTACAAAATCAGTCATCTTGTATTAACAAATTAAATACACATACAACAAATTAAATCAGTCAAATTTAATAATTTTATTTTAAATCATATAAATTTTACATTAAACATATAATGATAAAAATATTTTATTTACGTTATCAAACCTTGTTTATTAAGTATTTACATATACAATATTTTTTTATTTTAAATTATACTATGTCAATAATTGTTTATGTTTTCTATTTTATATAAAACTAATTTATTTTTAACTATATTTATTTCCTATTTTTACATATTTTACACATTTTTTTAATAAATACAGTTTTTTAACAACATATTAAATTTATAATAAACTATTTTTATTTACAATATTTATTTTATTTTATAAAGGACAAAGTAACATAATTCTTAGTTTATAAATAATTTAAGAACCTACCATGCAAGATTAAATAATACTGCATTAATTTATATTTTTATTGTTTTTTTCAATTCTAACACCATAAAATTAGTATAATTATAATTAATTATCAACATAAATTACACAACAGATTTGTATATTCATTATTAAATTGTTTGAATGCCATATATGCATTAAAACTAACGTAAACAGTAACAGTTTATTCTTTTTCACACTATATTAATTTATTTAAAACACAAATACAAAATGTTCATAAAATTTTATTACACATTAAAAACTTATATGTCAAATCGTATTTATATAGTTTACTTATATCATATTATATTTTTATATCATAATTTATTATCTTTATTAAATTCTTTTACATCATTTTTATATTTGTTCCCATTAATTTGTAATTTTTAAATAATATCTACAAATTTTTAATCATTTATACATAATAAGTTAGTACAATTATACATAAATAAAATCTTGACATTATTTATATATTATTTTTTTAAAACAAATTTTCATCATACTAATACAATTTTATTTTAACTACTAATTAAAAAAATCAATTTCATATAAATAACTAACATAAAATATTACATTTTTCTATAGACTACAAATAAATAAAACTCATAATAAAAAAAATTAAAAACATAAAACTATAATTTAACTAACCTTATAATATCACTTTTTGTATTTTTCTTCCTTCCTCTAGGGCAAAGATGTGCACATTTGTGGAATGATTATATATATATAGCCCATAAAAATTAGATAAAAGAGTGTATCTGAATTAATACTAGAAGATAATGACACAAGTCACGCTTCCATGTGTATTGCACGATAGCTTTACCGCAGTTTGACCAGTGATACGCCTATCACTCTTAACTAGTCGATACCATTTTGCATGCAACATATGTCACTATCCAAACCGTCTCTCGTTTGATGCTCTTGTTTGGGCAATACTTATTCTCTCTCCACCATATGTCAACATCTGAATATGTATCCGATGGATGCAAACGATGATCTATTAAAAAATTAATAAAAATATGCTATCAGATATGCAGGTACGATACAGGTGTTGACCTGGCTAAAATTCGTATAAGACAGGGAATATGTTTTAAAAAGATTCTATTTTAAAAAATTGTTCTAAAAATAGTATTATTTAAATAAATTTGCTACTAATTTTAATACATGTGTGAACATCTATTAAAATACATTAAAGCTATAATTTTTATATTAATTATTATAAAAATATATTTTAAATTTATATGACAATCTATAATTTTACAATATTAGTGTATTTAAATTAAATTTTTATTATTTTATGTAAATTTCATAAATATTACTTTAATTTTTACTATTTAAGAAACTCTTATCTCTAATTATGTAATTCTTAAAATTTATTATTAGATGTGTTCTATAAGTTAGCTCACATTTCCATATGTGATTAATATTTATTTTAATTTTTAAATACAAATTTTCTGATTTATTTTATTTTTTCACATTATAAAAAATAAAATATTGAAAATAAAATAATTTTATGCACAGTTTTTATGTAATTATAGATTATAATAGATTCTATTTATTATTTTTTGAAAATAATATATAATATAAAATATTATAAATTTAAGACAACATTTAATTTTGGTTAATTTCACTACTAAAACATTCCCAAATATGTTCTACCAAGTCTGACGTTGGACAAATAATGACTTTCCTTTGTAAATATGTTATAAGATTAGCTTTTCTTCGCAAGTAAGTTAAAAAAAATTGGGATCAAAACCACTGTATGATTAAATTGTTAATAGATCATTTTATAAATGGTCATAGGAATAATAAAAAGAACCATCATATGTTGTTCCTCTTTAACAATCATGTTATTATTGTTATGCAATGTGATGCATGCATATAAGATATATTTGATTATATACATGTGCTTCCAAGCACGTGCTGATCCATGTTATAATTGCAAATTGAGATAATGCTCGCTCAACATATTCCTTCTTGATGTAGCAAAATATCAGTCAGTATATTAGACTACTTTAATGTGTTACATTGATGTTGTTATTTGAATTAAAAAAAAAAAAACATACATGAGAAATCCACAAGTCTTGTTATGTCATTGCTTCGAGCATGATTATCGGTTTGGCATGATTACCTTGTAATGTCATTGTCCTATCGCAAACATTGAATGTCCCCATTGTTATGTATGCAGCTCCAAAAACCTCGTTACTATGTTCTATAACATCTAGACTGCAATACTTTCATCAATTCATACACAGTCATCTACATTATAAGTTTGTGATTTATATGCCAATGTACATATAGCAATATTGCATTTTTGTAGCGGTGATAGACTTATTCTACTAGTTGCAACATTCATTTAAAAATAGTCATTATGATTGCTATGAGCTTCAACAATAAGAACGAACGAATACTTGCTTAAATTTAAAACATTTGTCAGAATTAAGTCTCTATGTAAACTAGATTTTCATAAAAGTAGTCATTGAACAGCAGTTATATTCTTCTTCACGGTTGTGTATGCCTATTTGAGAAATTAGTTTTACATTGAATATCCTTTTCAAGTATCAATTTCATGTATTTTTTTTTTGGTGCCTTCATTATGAAATCTTCTATAATTTGTCACTCTACCATTTCTTCATAGTATGTATCACTTGTATCTATGTGAATGATTATTTGAGTTTTAACTTTGATAAAAGATGAAGAAAAAGTGAGAAAATATTTACATAAATAAATGGTATAAATATAAAGAGTATATGTAGGATATTGAAAAACAGTTGAACCAATAACTAGTTTGACTAATGACTAATTTGAAAACACAACCATTTAACAAATTTTAAAATTTGAATAACAATATTAGATTAAACCATATTTTTATTATAAATTGTCATTTTACCATTTATTTATCAAAATTTAGTCTTTTTTTTTAAATTGTTATTTTATATTTTAAACTAGCTAAATTATTTTATATAAAAGTTCAACTCGTTTTGTTAAAAATGCTTAACACTAAATACTTAGTTCTTTTTTCTATCTCTTTTTTATTTTTCTCACAACAAATGTGTGCTTCTAGTCAAATTATATTAATCATGAGGTTTTTTTTTATTGTTTATTATCTATGATTATGAATTTTTTGTGTTTATTTACCTTTACTTTTATCTATATAATTGTGTGTAACTAAATATCTTTCGTTATGGGATCGTGACAAATTCTTGTAATGTAACTCTTTTTCAACCTTAATTTAATTTTATAATATGTATTATTATTTTTAATTATAATCACCTTTTTTATGCTATTATTATTCTTGAATTAATTAGTCAATAATAAATCTTAGCTAATCAATTTATGTTAAAAGAATTAAGAGGTAATTTATGTTTAGGAATTAAAATAATTAATTGATCACTTAAATTTCTGAAAAGTTAATTAAGTAAAAAATATGATGTTTTTTTAATACTCTTATTTAATTTTTTACTTTTTATGATCATTAAGGTAACATATAGACAAGAAGATTATCATTATTATAAAATTGTTAAGTAGTAGTAATAATTAAGTATAATTAATAATTATTTTAACATAATTAAATATAATTAAATTAAAAATATATAAATAACCTCAAGAAAAAATATAGTCTCCATGAAAATGATATTAGGAGGATCTAAAACATCTCCTTCCATTAATAGGTACACTTGTTCATTGGTTGAAAATTTTTTAAAAAATTAAAATTTGCAATACTTTTCTAAACAAAAGAAACAAATTACATCATTTCATTTTAATTTCTAATTGTCAATTCTGTCATAACAATCATTTTCTCTTTTATGATTTGTCTGTTTTTTAAAAAATATTAAGTAAGGATGAAAAAGTTTTCATGTGTTTGAATTTCTTTTATAAAAGTGTAAAATAATATTTTTTATGAGACTTGTTACTAATTTTTTTTCACAAAATGGTGAGATGAGATTTTGTGTGAGAATGATTAAGTTTTGTTTTATATTTTATTGAAAATAATTTTTAAAGTAATAGAAAAATATTAATAAAATATATATAATAAAAATTATATTATTAAAAAATAAGCTTAATTATATTTTTCATCTTTATAAAAATAATATAGTTTGAAAGTACTTCTTAAATATATTTTTTTTGTTAAAATTTACTTCTTCCAATACTTTTTATAAAAAACAAAAGACTAAATTAGGACAAAGGAAAGTAATTAAGTCTATTATGTTTTCTATAAATATAAATTTTATTTCAAAAAAATATCCATAATATTAAATGGTGCAGTTAATAATTTGTATATTTAATGATAATAAAAAAAATATAAAAAAATATAACAATTAATACATCTTGAATCTATTATTTATTTTTTATAATAAAGATTAAAAAAATATTTTATTTTATTTCTTATAAAAAAGATCAAAAACATTTTAAAAATATTTAAAATTATATTTTACCGTCAACTATTATATCATTAATTTATCGTTATTATATTATCATTAAATTTTTAATAGGATAAAAATTTATTATTATTATAAAAATATTTTTTGATATATAAATTATCTTTTTCTTCGTTACACATTGTATATACCTTTTAAATATTAAATTCTTGTATTCTTAGGGTTGTCATTCATGAAATCCCTTATGTAGAAATCAGTGGGATCCATTTAAGTGATAATATAAGAGTCTTAACTTTTGAAAGGCTAACCTATCAAATGAATAGAGTTTTAAAATATTCTTAACCTAATTAATTTAAGGGTTTTGTTAACTGATAAGCAGTTATTAGAATGAAAAATATTTATTATATTTTTATAACTTTAATATAATAATTATATTTTTTTTATAATTTTTTTATTTATAAATATTTAAATTCAGCTCCTAACAAAACTTTTAATTTAATATGCAACCTTAACTTTATTTTGTATATGAATGACTAATTTTTCTCTCCTTATTTTACGACAATTTTAGGTAAATATTTTTTATACTTGACACATTTGTAAAATTTGTAAAATATTAAGGATCCGTTGATAAGATCAGAGAATATAATATAATAACTAAGTGATGCTAATAAGCGAGAAAATAATAAGTAAAAAATGCACAAATTCAAATCTAATAACGAAAGACACACACGATGAATTAAAGGAGGTAATGGAATAAAATTATCTTCCAATATGTATATAATACATCATATTCGTGAACAGACGCACATATTTTTTTTTCCTGCTTATGTTATTGTGCATTAAATATAGAATCAATTTTTAAAAATTAAACTTATCATAGAATTAATAAAGATATTGATTCAAAGTTTATCAATGATTCCACCATAATTAAACTGTGATTGAATTGATGATATAATATTGAATATAATATTAAATAATAGATAAACATAAAATGTTTATAAATTAAGACAAATTACATTTTAAACCGACATAAAATGAACATATTTTCTGTTAAAAAATCAACAATAAAAATTTATGTACATGAGTTCTTATAACTTGTCATTAAGCTTTTATTTAGTTAAAATATATTTTTAAAATGATTAAAAAATAAATTTGATTAGTTCGAATCAATTTTTATTATTAATTTTTAACTGACTTGTATTGATTTTATACACATTCCGCCTATTTTTTTTATTCTCATCGATTTTGAAATTAGCCCTATTTCTATTAAACAGATCGAATGGCTAACCTATTGTGGGTTTAAACAGTGGAATCAATGAATTTAATTTAATTTTTAAAATATGGTTAAGGAGTGTGTATGACTTTAGTGGTAGATTGATAATTGCTATGTTGGGCTTTGACATGGGGATTGGGGACCTCCAACGTTTGGCATCAGGGCGTAGATAAACTCATCTAGTGTTACGCATTTGCAAAACGCACGTGCCTTTGACCATTACGACTTAGAAGCTTCGGAAAGGTCAAGGTCCCTCTCTCCTCTATCCTTGGCAACAAGCCCTAATCCTTCTTTTCCTCGAACTTCCGAAGCAGAAGCTGCTACTGTACTGATCCAATAATTGCAATTCGAACCAACCATTTCACTCTCAATTCAAATTCTAAGGTTTTGCATTCTCTTCTCTCGCTTTATTTTCCCGCTTCATTGCGTGTTGCCAGTTTCCAATTCTTGATCCATTTCGCGCGTCGAGCTTCGTCCACTATTTTGTCCAATTATCGATTTGAAGTTGCTTAACCGCTTTTTCGATATATTTGAATTGTTACTTAACCTTATCATTTGTTAAATTAGAGTGATCCAGAGTACCAATTGTTCCCTTAGTCGGTAGCTACTGAGCGAATGAATTATGGGATGCTTTGTTTTTAGCTTTGAAAATTTTAGAATCTGGGATTTGGCTATAATTTACTCCTCACGAATCAGTAGCGTTTCTACTTTGTCATGGTTTATTTTAATTACTGAAATTGATGAATTTGGAACTGACATTACATTTTGATTTTGTTGTTCCTGACATTATGAAATTTTGCTATATGAGGCTTGTTGTGTTTCTCTTTAATGGTATGAGGTTTTGATTCTGATTACAGCGGTGATAGCTTGGGGAAGCAGTATGCCAGCAGTGCGGTATTTTTCCCCTGAAGACACGATAGAGCAGAAGTTACAGATTGAAAGGAGGCTTGGTAGTGTGAAAGCATGTAAGTACTTTAATCTTCTCACGAGATTTCTGAGTCTCAAAATTCGCAAACATGAGTTTGATAGGCTCTGCATAGCAACTATTGGGAGAGAAAATGTCCCTCTTCATAATCATTTACTCAAGTCAATCTTGAAAAAAGCTAGTCTTGCCAAGACGACACCGAGCAGAGAAAGCAAAGTGGAAGGTTCTTTGAATGTGAAAACACCAAATGGGTGTAACAATCTTCAGTTTCTATGCAAGGATTTTCCTCAATCTCCTCGAAAAGGAAGGACTCCAAATTTGCGTGACCGCAGATTCAGGGATCGTCCCAGCCCTCTTGGTCCTCACGGGAAGAACAACAGCGTCGGGTTTGAGGATTCAGCCCCCAAAATTCATGAGCAGCAAAGTAATATCGATCAACAATCTACAGGTAGTAGACTACCTCTCTCTGCTGTGGAAGACGGGGAGGAGGTTGATCAGGATTCTGAAAGCCTGAAAGTTTTTAGGAGTCCTGTTCGAGCACCTCTTGCTATTCCCACTTACAATAGAAGAGCACAAAAACGTTTATGCAAAGGATTACCATCTGGTACTGTTACTGATACCTGCCATAGCATTGGCCAGCTACCTGATTCTTGTTCTTTGACGAAAAGGTTGGAGCAAAAATTGGAAATGGAAGGATTTAAGGTCTCAGCGGATGCAGCCAACTTATTAAATAATGCACTTGATGTTTACCTCAAAAAATTGATAAAACCCTGTTTGGATTTAGCTGCTCCGATGTCTGTAAATAAGTTTAGTGGTCAAATCCATCCTGGTTTGAATGGGCTACCAATGAATAGGCTTGTCCAAAAGCCAATTGGATCTGTTTCTGCATCTATATCTGACTTTAGAACAGCAGTAGAGTTGAATCCTACTATATTAGGGGAAGATTGGTCACTACATTTTGAGAAGATTTGCGTACGTGCATTAAAAGAATGAGCTAAAACAGATTCAACAGTGTACTGATGCAAGCTATAAATATTTTCCTCAAAGTAATGATAGTGGAATGGGTTGGTCCACCCTGAATCCGATATTGATTTTTCACTCAAACATTGCTGACATATAAGTGGAAATATGGGAAGTTTTTAATTCAGTGACCATATTCTGTATAGGTTTTAGACTTTAGTGCTGACAAATTTGGTTTGGGACATTATGACTTGTTAAATGATAAAATATAATAAACTGGAACAATAAAGTTTACTGAACAGATTGTGATCTCTTCTTGATATCATTAGGGTATTTCTTCATTGTATTAAGAAATTTTTGTAAAGCTTATATTCAATCTTCCTCAAGTTTTGTTTTGTTCTGAATTCTGAGTATAATTGCTGTGGGTGTGTGGGAAATTACAGCTTATGTGTTTGCTTGTACGAAGTCCGCTCATGAATTTACATCTCTAATGAATGATTTAATCATCCCTTTAGTTTGTTTTAATTGCATGCAAATTGGTCTTTAGATGTGTAAGCACCATACTCCTGTTTCTTCTCTTCATTTACTTTTTGGTTTTTCTAAAGGTCCAAATAGCAGAGAATGAAAATGAAAGATTCCAGAGCAACAACAAACAATTTTTGTATGAATAATGCATATTTAAACAGAAAACAAGTTTTTTGATTTTACATGCGCTACTTAGGGATCTATAGATGTCAATGATCTATATAGTTCTATTTTTAACTTTTGATCATAACAAATTCATTAATAACATTCGGTAGGGCGGGTGTGATTCTTTTTGCCAAGGATTGAATTTCATGTAGTAAACATGAGATGTGCAAATGTGCTTTCTTTGTTGTGTAAAAAAGACATGAATGTGCAACCACATCCTTGACTTTTGATTCCAAGTTGTTAGTTTCTGGCCTTCTGTATACTTTAGTTGCATTTGACATGGTTCAGACTATAGAGTCCTTAGCCTGAATCTGTTGATTTTAACTTATTCTTGGATGTGTGTGTTTTCCACATAAGGCTTCAGTTGAAACTTCAAATCATAGTCCTTTAGATTCTAACCTAAAGCCTTAATAATTTATTTCATTTTATTTTTTCGGTGGGGGCATGATGGTCATGGTAAGACACCTATTTGAATACAATCTCGGATAATTAAGTATCTTGAAGGTTATGAAAGATTGGTATTTTCCCTGGTAGGTAGAGGGAGCAGCAAAAGTAATGATCTATTGTGTACGTGGGTAACTCAAAAAGAACAATAGTTTCAAATATTGTTACCCTTCTTTTTCAAATTTCACTTATACTTGTGCTTTAATATAAATTATTTATTGGGTTTAACGATTAGAAATGAATTTATAGCTGTTTTGAATGAATTAGATGGTTTTGGCATGCTTCTCATGTGTTGTTTGAAGAGTATTTAATTCCCACATGCTATCGAGCATTTGTGATTCCAAGAGTCTTTGCAAGAGTCCTCAACATCACACTATTGAGTCGTGTCTTGTAATAGAGATTTTGGCATTTAAGTGAGCAGAATATAGATATGTATAAGGATATATGATCATAGATCTGCTTCCTTTGTCTTGGTTATATTTGGAGACTAGTGTGTTTTCCTTGACGATAAGTTACTTACCAGTTGAGTGATATCTCTTACCTAGTTGCCCAGCGTGTCTTTTAACATTTTTTCCTGGAGCATTTGTTTGCAGATTATGATAAGTGAGCGTATTTATTTTTTTGGCATGGCTATCCAATTTCTAGCCCTCTAATTGTCTCTGTATATTTCTTGATTTCTGGTGCTGCTAGCCATATTGTAGCTTCTTGAGTGATTTTTATTGAATAGTCTCAACTTGTAGTGAAGCTGCGAATGGAAAAGTTTACCATGAAAGGTGAACAAGCCAGATAGGTATGCAGATGGCTCATTTACACTACTCTCCCTTCACTTACCCAAGTTGGCTCAACTAATTGAAGGGATTTTGACAAGGCACTACACACCCGAAGTGCATGAATTTGAATTTCAATTTTACCCTTGACACAAGTGGTTAACCCTTTTCCTTTGGTGATTCCGTGGCGCCTATAGGCATAATGCAGATTCTTGGATACCTTTGTGGCTTCATTGGTGCCATATATCCTGATAAACCAAGACTAGTCACTGGTGCATTTTTTCTCATTTGACCTTTTGGTTAAAGGAGTCAATATGTTTGTTCAACTTTACTGATCTCTCGAAAAATTCTTTTTGTTTTGATGTTGCCCTTGTTTTTGTTCTCCCGCTCCGCGTTTGAATTTTAGTATGTGCTTCTTATCTTAATTAATTATATGTTGATGGCTAATGTTATGGTAAATGCATTTCAAGTTGTCATTTTCTTATTGTATGTGAAGTTTTCTTTTATTTCATTTAATTTTTTGAGTGATGTAATTGTTTTATTTTATATAGAAAATAAAGGAGGCTGAATGTAAGCATAAGATCGTTCACATGGTCTTGAAAATGATTGAAACATAATTATTACAAACACGGTCAGCAAATATTATAGTTTGGCACTTGCGTTGTTTGTTATACTGTTGTATTCGTACGGTGAAGTTGATTATCACCAGCGACAAATAAAGGAGAAAATTTATTTGAGAAAAATAAAAAAATGACAGTGGAGAAATCAACCATAATTAAATTTTAATAAAGAAATCAATGGCTTTCCTTGCTTCTAAAAAACCTAAATTAAACATGAAAGAAAATACGTTGGTCGGTGTGTTTGGACACCGGAGAGAGTAGTACGAAAGAAGTTGAAGATTACAAATCTTTCGTCACACGAGAGTTTAACTTTGATCAAGCTTTTTATGACAAATATTACAAGTCTTGTCTTGAGAAGTTTTAAATTAACAATGACAAGTATTGTAAAAAAAATTATGTGAAATATTCTAAATGAAAGTTACTTAATGTTAAAAAATATCCACGTATCATTATTTAATCCAAAAATTGGATGTCAATGTTAATAAAAAATGATAAAGGTTCAAGTAATCTAAAATTCATTTATCGATTATTTTTTGGGTAACAGTAATTTTTATGAACAATTCAAAGTTCTTAATTTTCGAGGACTTGGAATTATTTTCAACATTACAACAAATAAAAATTCAATGTTAAAAATATCCACATATCATTATTTGATCTAAAAATTAAATGTCAATGTTAATAAAAGAATAATAAAGGTTCAAGTAGTCTAAAATCCATTTATTGAATTTTTTTTTCGGGTAACATATTCATTTTTATGAACAATTCAAAGTTCTTAATCTTCGAGGACTTTGAATTATTTTAAACATTCTAACAAATATAAACTCCATGTTAAACAATATCCACATATCATTATTTGATCTAAAAATTGAATGTCAATGTTAATAAAAAAATGATAAAGGTTCAAGAAGTCTAAAATTCATTTATTGATTTTTTTTCCCTTGGGTAACACATTCATTTTTATAAACAATTCAAAGTTCTTAAATTTTGAGGACTTTGAATTATTTTGAACATTACAACAAATAAAAACTTATCCTTAACCTTCTTTCCTTAACTTCCTTTCCCAGACCATCCAAACAAGTCTTAAATTATTAAGGAAACAAATTTATTAACAACAAATAATCTGGCTACCCCCTTGCGAATTCCCCGCATTAAAACCATGCACTGTTTGCGACTTTGTTATCATCTAAAGCACGGAACAATCGGTACGAATTTTGCCATTTCTTGCGGTCTTGACTCCAACGCGACCCAGTTTGGTCATGGCAGCAACGAAGTTGGCGTTGAAGGTGTTACTATTGGAAGCAAAGGAATTAACTGTGTTCCTAGACTTGGGGTCCGTAAAGAGAATTTGATCAGAAGTGAAAAGGCCCATTCCTTGCTGAAGGTTCTTGTAATAAGCATTGTCGAATGTCCGAGGAGTGGTTGGGTCCATGTTGATGGCTATCCTTGGATCAACGTTCCTTGGGCACATTTGTTGTAATTGGGTTGCGTATTGGTTGTTCAATGATGGGTCCACTGGACCTCTGCTGCTGAAGCTGTATATTCTATTGGCGAACCTGCTGCAGTGGGAGAATCCAAGGGTGTGTGCACCTAAAATATCACAATTAAGCACGTTGAGAGAGCAAGGAACGTGCGCTACACTACAAATTAAAGTGCTGTTGGTTCAGACTTGGGATCAGAACGAGGGTTCATTTTCTAGCTGCTGTTTTGAACGTGCATGTGCCCTCGCAAGCTTCCAGCTTGGCTTTCTATGTTATTTTTTAGTGATTTCTGATTGGATGCTTAGGCCTTAATTTTACATATAAATTAACTATGTTTATGATTTATTCTTTAAAAATTTGTTAAAGAAATAAACGACTATTTTATTAAATTGACATATAAACATGGATTTATTAGGATTTCAATTAAAAATTTTCAAATAATGTGTTTTATTATATTTAATACAGGAATCTCTTATTATTATCATTATGAAGTTGCTTGTTTGAGCTTCTTCTAAACACACGTTTTTATATAAAAAAATATGTTTAAAAAATTAAAAATAATGATATTTTATTTTTTAAATAATGTTAACAAAAACAGATTATTTGAATGAGATTGATTTAACCTTTTGCCCATTTTTCAAAGTTTAATAAATTAAACGGCCAATTCAAATACTCTTTTGACACGGAATCACTTAAAAAGTAAGCTAATAGGACCCATTTTACGCAGTTGCACGGGCATTACCTGAGAGGGCAATCATGTCGGTTTGGGTAAGCCCGTTTGAGGCAAACAGGGTATTCAGCTTATTCAAATTGAAACTTGGCTGAGGAAGTCTTCCATTTACATCCGAAGCTCTTGAAACTAACCCATCAAATCTTCCCAATTCAACCGTGTACGAAGGTCCACCAGCCTGCACATCCACTCACATTTACTAATTAAGCTCCTAATAAATCTTTAGTACATTTAGATAAACACTTCAATTCAATATTTAGTTAATAATTTTTTATCATAGTAAAATTTTAATGATTAATTTTATTGAAACAAGTCACAAAATAAAAAAGTTTACTAAAATAAATTAAAAATGAGTTTATCTGAAACTCCTCATAAAAATGTGATTATTCAAAAATGAAATGATGTTTACAAGAATTAGAGTTATTTAAAGAACAAACCAGTGAAATAACATCCCGGGTAGCCAAAGCAAGAATATCAGCGCATGAGACTTTGTTCCTGCACTGGGGAACAGCATCTAGCGCAGCTTTTGCTTTTATCACTGTGTCAAACCCATCACCAGCCAATGACAGATTATCAGGGTGATCCTTCTCTGCTTTGTTATTTCCGGTGGATGCCACCAAAACCGAACCATCACAACCCTTTAATATAGCAAACACCACAAAATTAGCATTATGGCTAATAAAAAAGATACCCATGACGTAGTGTAAAGCGTTATTTATTCTTTATAATTAGAGCATTGTAATTATATGGATAATAAAAGTTATGCAATTAATTAATTACCTGGACAAAGCAATCGTGGAAGAAGAGACGAAGGGTGGCAGGAACTGTAACAAAGGTTTGTTGGAATTTCGTAGTAACGACTTGTTTAACTATGCTTTCAACATTGGGGCAAATGTTAGCATAGTGGTTTGGACTAAGCTGGGCGAAGGTATTATATGGATAAAGACAGAGTGTTAAAGAGAGTGACCACAAGAGTATGAGATTAAGCCGACCCATTTAGTGCTTTTGCAGTGGGAGATAAAGAAGAGAACGAAAATGCAAAGAATTTTGGGTGCAAAGGAGTGAATGATGCATAAGTGGAAAAGTATGAAGGGGTATATAAGAGCTACTATGTCAAAGTTGTTGTGGGTCATGAGTCACGAGCCAGTTGTCTTGGAATCTTTTCAACATTGTTTTTATTCTTTTTTAATTTTAATTATATTTTTTACAGATTGGAAGTTGAGTGTTTGAATAATAATGGTAGGCTCAGAAAGGGACACTGTTGAGGTTGCTGTGTCTATGGCCGCCTTGGTCTCATTCAACACAATAAAGTGGTTTAACCTTTGTCAAATCAAATGGTTATAGGAAGGAGCAAGAGAGGGAACTCGTGTGAATCTTAAATTCTCAAATTGTAAAAAGTGGTCGACCAAGTTGGTGGAAACATCTTAGATCGAGATCGAGAGAGGAAGGGGCTGCTAAATTTGACACGAGAGGAATCTGGACTGGCTTTCACGTTCATGCTCCTTTCCTTGTGCTCCGCTTGGACCCTAGCATAAATCATAAATGAACTCTATTTTCTTATTGTTAGATACCGTTTCGTTAATCAATGCTCTGGCTCCATTAATTGATAAATTGAAATTGACAATGTTGTATTAAAGACCAGTTAAACTGCATCCAACATCACGACAGAAAGTGCATTAGGATATTTTTAAATAAAATGTTTTACTTTTTATTCTTGAAGCATTATTCTAAGGATGCTGATTAATGTTTGTATATTACATATTGACTGAAAAATATAATAATTATTGGTGCATTTAAATTTAAAAATATAGTTTACATATATAAAATAAATGTGTTAAGAAATGAAAGTTTTATCAAATTTTATCTTATTATGAGTTTATCTTTTATACAGTTTTAATATTAAAAAATATATAATACAGAATAGATGTGACTTTTAAATTAATTATTATAAAAATTAATAATTTCTGCTAATATATGAGAATTTATATTTGGATTAGAGTGAACAAAATATTGTTCAGAAGTTTGAAAGTATGGCTTTCTGATATTAATAATTCTTTTTATACTTAAAAAATATTTTTTATGATGAATACTTCTTTTCCCTTATAACTCTTTGATTACGTGTAATCTTTGATTTTTTGTCGATATTTTTTATTTATATATAATAATTTTTAAGTTTAATTATGTTTTTGATTTTTATAAAAGTAGTATCTTTTAAAATTAATTTCTACCCTTGCTAGTCCTCATTAGACCATGGGGCATTGAAGGTGAAGTTGGAGACAAAAATTGAGGCCAAGATAGGTGTTCTACCGATTAATGTTGGAGAGGATAGTGTTGTTGGGATGGGAGAGAGTAAAGAAGAAAGCTTGAGAAAAATAAATTCAGGAACCCTCTTGCAAATGTTAATATTTCAACAATATATATTAAAAATAATTAAATATATGATAACGTGAGTTGAAATTTTATTATCTAAAGCTCATCATTTAATATAATACAATTAATTACGTGTATTAATTTCAAATATTTTATAAATATTAAGGACTAAACTTTAATATTTTTTTAAGACTAATTTTAAAGAAAACTATTTTTATAGTGGTAAAAATATAATTAAGCTTAATTTTATAACAATAAATTCTTAAACTATTCCAAGTGTTATTATTGACATTATCCTATCTTAGCATAATAGCACCAAATAATCTTAAGCACAACATTTGGAGGTTAAACACTTTTAAGAGTTTAAAAACAAATTGATACCACAATACAAAACTTGGTAATTTGAGAGAGAGTAACAAAACTTCAATATTAGAGCAAGTAAAGCGAGTTTGATTGCTTAAGTGGAGTGCAACATAAATTAAAGTTCAATCAATCAAATTAAGCATGTATTTTTCTAATTCATGTTAAAATGTCCTAAATTAATTAAGATTAGAGTTAGAATATTCTTTATAAATATTAGAATAATTCTCCTCACAATAAATAACTTTTAAAAATAAATTAGATTCAATTTTTTTAAATATAATTCAGTATCTATCCAATTTGAATGTTAGATTGCAAATTTTTAATCCTATTGAGGTGCCTTACTATCTCATTAAACCTCCTATTATTTTGATACTTTTTATTTCTATAAGATAATTAGATAAAGTTAACATTTAAAAAAAATAAAAAAAATAATTATTACAATAAAAAGAAATTTAATTCATAATTTTAATATTAGAAAAATATGCTACATCCACGTAACTACGAATACTTTATAATAATAATAATAATAATAATAATAACAATAATAATAATAAGACACATTTAACTAAAATATATAGTTCAATAAAAATGGTTAGAAATAATTGAATTTTTTAATTAATTAAAAATATTATAATATAATAATTTTTATTTTTATTTAATAATATTCTACTTAATTCTATTATGAATTTTTATTCTTATCAATTTTAATTTAAGTTTTCAGAAACTCATTTTATTAAGAATAAATAGAAAATATAATAAATATTTTATAAAAATATAAAGTATCTTACTAAAAAAAATCACTAACAATATCTAAAATGTGTCTTAAAAAAATCAGAAAGAATAGAAAAGAAATTAGAGTCTTATGAAAGATTACATTTTCTATTAACTTTAATTCTTAAAATTAATATGAATTATTTAATAATAACAGATTTTATTAAAAAATAATTAACATACCAAAAGGATAATAATTGTTTATTTTTAATAAATATACTACCATTAAATATTTAAATTCAACCTGTGAATGTTTCCTTAATATTATATACAAGAACTGCGGAGAGTGGATTCTCTCTGAGTTCTTTCACCCTGAAGGATGGATGAAATTTACCATCATATTTCATATTACTCGTTACAATTCTTACGTTTCTCATTCTTTTTTTACACTTCAGTTGATGAATTGGGACAATTGCTTTTGAAAACTGCAGAGGATCGATCTGTTTCCACGAGGGACCTTAATTATTTGAAAGTTACTGACAGAAAAATTTTAGTTTGACCAATGACCATGAAGTAGACACTGGTCGATTCTGTACAGTTTGGCACTGATTATTTTATTAGTGTTATGTGGTATAGTATCAAGAGAATCTCTTCATGTCATGTGATGAGAGAAAAAACATTCACCCTTAGCAGATGCAGAAAAGACCGTTGTTTGATTATTACCCGATAACTTGTTTACTTCAAAATATCAACTGCGCATATATTGTTGCTTATTACCCATCAACTTATTGAGTTCAAAATATCAACTATATTGGTAAGTATTACTTTGGCTTCGATGAACGTGTAAGGTAAAAAGGTGAATTTCAATGTTAATTAATTTAAAAGTTAATTAAATATAATAATTGTTTAAATTTAAATTAATACTAATATTACTCACCAAATACATTACTAATTAGCAAAGTTATATGATTTTGAATTCAATGAATGAAGCTTGAAAAATACAAGAAGTTTATATTAACAGTTTGGATGAATAGATAAAATAAAAAGAAAGAAATAAAATAAGAAAAGTAAAGTAAAAAAATTTATCATTTAAATAAGTAAAAATAAAAAAATTCTTTTATTTATTTGAATGGATAAAAGTAGAATAAAAATTAAATAGAGTAATATTTGTATGATAATAATAAATTTATTTACTAAAAAATAAATTAATATAATATTTTATATATTTTTTCAAAAATATTTTTTTATAATTTAAAAATTATTTAACACTAAAAATTTTATATAATTAAGCTTCCATATAGTGTTCAAATCACGATTATGATGAAAAGAACAAAATTATAGGTTCCGCTTATTTATTTTATTTCCTCCAACTAAAATTCAAAACATTCAAACAAGGGAAATTTATTATTCTTTTAACATAAAATCGCTCTTTTCAATATTTTTTTTCCCATTTTTACTTCATCCAAATAGAGCCCTAGAACATGTTTAAATAGATTGATACAAATGGAATCAAGGAAATGATATCTATACGTTTTACTTCATCTAAATATATGCATTTTTTAGTTTTTTTGACTTTTGGTTTTTATCTTTACGTTTTTCTTATTTGATTTTTGTTATTTGTATTAAGTTTGATCAATTTATAAACTTTCGCAATGGAATATGTTTCATTTTTTTTTCTATTAAATATTTTCTTTTCCCTCTTAAATTTTGGGAGTATGAGACGAAACCATAATTTTATTTTATTCACCATTATGAGTATAGTCTTAAGATTTTAATAGCAACTCAGTAGGAAAGAATGTGTGTGTGGTCATGATGAGGGCATACAGAGATAAATTAATTAATTTTGATAATTTATAAATGATTATATGGTTATATTCAATTTATATTTTATACTTTTATTAGACATGTCCCATAGGGCGTGGCATTGATATTTATCAAAGACATATATGAATATATATGAGATAGCATTTGCTTATAATTTTTTTTTTGTTATTATAGTTGTATCATAAAATTAGTAGGCATCGAAAGGAAAAGACAAATATTAGGCTTAAAATACTATCTCACTTATCCACAAGAGAAGTGGAAGGGGAATCTTTAATGCTATGGATTAGATTGCATAATTTTTGAGCAATATATATCTCAAGTCCAATGAAATTAAGACAGGCTATAAGGTTAGCATTAGTGAATCCATTAGGATATCTATTATTTCTTCTAGCATAATTCTAATTAATTAACATAATTAAAATTAAAATTTATAATTGTGTATATACTGTCCATAAACTGTTATGTTTTCGTTATTATATTTTTCTTTATAGGATTTATAGGATTTTTTATATATAATTTTCTTTTGAGAATGTCTCATCCTCCAACTTTATATTTTTTTCTCCTTAATTGAAGTGTCTTTCAATACCTTCCAAAAAAATTATTCTAGGGAAATTATTTTTAATGGCCAATTATAGACATTTCTATCTACTATAGGAAATCTCATGTTATCAAGCTAGGAGAATAATCTTATTTTTGTTTAAATGATTGTTTATCAGATAAGTTATACATTAAATGAAATGGGGTGAACTGTCGGTGATTGTTATGAAACAACTTGTAAACCTTTTTTTTTTTTAAAATATTTTAAGCCCTTTTG